CTGCTGCAGGTCATGCTTGCTGGTGCTGCTGCAGGTCATGCTTGCTGGTGCTGCTGCAGGTCATGCTTGCTGGCACTGCTGCAGGTCATCCTTGCTGGCACTGCTGCAGGTCATGCTTGCTGGTGTTTCTACAGGTCATGCTTGCTGGTGCTGTCTTACTATTGCCAGGGTGTACATGTATATAGGTACCAACATTGGTATTGTTGCATCTTCAAACCTAACCCCAAGTGAATCTTCATTGTATTCATGTGGCTGTGCTGCTTTGAGTGCATTGAAATCAAAGTAAGTTCAGACTTTTCAGGATACAGTATAAAGAAATCACTCAAGTTTGTGTTTTTGATATCGACCTTTTTTTCTTCGGGAGTGTAGAAGTTGAGGACACACTGATGGAGATTTATGAACGTCTTGATGAGATGGAAGCAGACAACGCTGAAGTCAAAGCGGCAAGAATCCTTCACGGTCTTGGCTTCACCCATGCCATGATGCACACCAAGACACGTGACTTCTCAGGTGGCTGGCGCATGAGAATCTCTCTGGCGAGGGCGCTGTTTGTCAAGCCGCATCTATTACTTCTAGATGAGCCCACTAATCATCTGGATCTAGAGGCTTGTGTGTGGCTGGAGGAAGAATTGAAGAGGTAGGCTAGAAGACGACAGCAGTTCTACTCTCAGATCACAGTTTGGACTTGGGGGGGGGAATTTCTTGGGAGTAGATGGTTTAGAAAGTCAGGGAATTCTGATGTTCCCCATCCTAGAGACATCAGCTGAACGTTTACTGATGACATGCTTGCAATGTCCAGACAAGTCTATTGTAGCCAGGATATTGTAAAAGGATCTTCTACGTATGCAGCCACTTTTCATGTCATCTGATTGCCTGATTTTTCATGAATCCATCATAAATTGGAAGGGTCTTTCATTGCTCGGCACGTAACTTTCTTGTTACCTTATTCTTGGTTGTTCAATTTCAAAGTTTGAATGTTATTCATGTTTTTCATTTCAGCTACCAAAGGATATTGGTGCTGATATCTCACTCTCAAGATTTCCTGAATGGTGTGTGTACCAACATTATCCATATGCATCAGGGTAAACTCAACTACTATAGTGTAAGTAGCTTTCTGATGTGTTTATCATCCCTAATCCCATCAAATCCAACAGATGCAACAGGTGGCACATAAAAGTCATTTTTGATGAGTGCATCAGATGAGTTTGATAAATATTCGTTTGATCTGTCAAGATTTTCAGGTTATGTTGACTGCTGTATAAAAAATCCAATTTCCTTTTGATGAGTTTTCAGTTGAAGTTGTTGACATTTGAATTTTACTCACAGCTTCTTGTTTATTATTAACATTACGAACTCCCTGAAGAAAAAGTGGATGGAAAGCAAGGAGAATGACTCTACAAGTTGTATTTGTATTTCAGGGTAATTATGACAGCTACGTCAAAACACGAAGTGAGTTGGAAGAGAATCAGATGAAGAAGTATGACTGGGAGCAGGA